ACCTCACGTCCTGACTGCTTTGATGCCTGTTACAGAAATGTGATCAGTGCTGGAATAGAGACAGTCAATACTGAGTTACCTTTTAATCACTGAATTTCAGAATCATCCACACTTTTCTTACTGTGTCTCCTTAATTCTAACCTCATGTACTAAAATCATGACAAGTTCTTCTCCATTTGATGGCTAGTGTTTTGTTTTTTCCCTGAACTGGATGCCTAAGGGGTGTTTTTGCAATTGCCAAATAGCTAAGAATTAGTGTGGGTGTAAAATGTAAGGGGAAAAGCTGATAAGAGTTTCTGTGTAATCTGTCAAATTCTGAATCTTCCTTTATGGTCTTTCTCTGTTGAGTAAGGGACTCAAAAGAAAAAGGAACTTTGATAGATGTGTAGCTTTGCTTGGAATGGTTCCTCTGAATTTTTCTGCTACCCCAGCTAATGGTGAATTCTCTCATACCAACTCTCTGAATTTCCAAAAAATACTGTTATTTGCAAACAGACATTGTCTTAGTTCATTTTGTGTGGAATTCCATTTTTTTAAAACTGGAATGATTTTAGCCCAAAACCTTTGTGTGGCTTGGCTCATATATTTAAAATCTTCTCCCTCCTTATTGGTATACGTGCTAAACTGGCTTTAGAAAAATTTTGTGACTTCATTAAACAAAGATATGGTGTAGTGGTTATCTCTCTACTGGTAGGATTGACCATGATTGCAAGTAAAGAAATGGCAGTACTTTTAAATTATGTCTACTTTATTATTTATTTATTTATTTATTTATTTATTTATTTATTTATTTATTTTTTACTGCACTGTAAGGCATGCGGGATCTTAGCTTCCTGACTAGGAATTGAACATGTGCCCCCTATTGTGAAAGTGTGTCTTACTCAGTGGACTGCCAGGGAAGTTCCCAAGTATTTTTAAATAAAATCATTTCCATTGACTTTTTTTCTAAGTATTATACTCAGGATGTTCTTTGAGCATTGTCAGAACTTCCTCCTCTGATAAACTCTCTGTCACTTGGGCCTTGGCAGTCATATCACCATGTTCTGTCTCAAAGGAATGATTCCATTTCTATGGGAGCTAGTTGCCTCTTTCCAGAAGGCAACAATAAAGATCCTGACAACGCAGTGAGACTTGAAGTCCTGGGATTAGAATGAGACTCTGTGTAGAACTGAGGAGACCCAGCCTAGAGAAGTTATAGCCATCCAGAACCTAGCCATCCAAATATAGCCGTCATTCCCTCCATGTAGCACCATGTGCAATTAAGAATTTATCACATGCATTTGAGTACTGAGATGTGCACATCAGTCTTTCTTAATGGAGGTTGAAGATTTGGGAATGGAAAGTGACAGAGCTCTGATTGTTTGCATTAGCCAATTACTGTGTTGTAAATAGCTCACACACATACCTCCAATTTCAAAGTATCAATATGATGTCATTTACCATGCAAGTGGGAAGAGATGTGTGAAGCCCGCTCTGCCCAAGCCCAGGGGAGCCAGCTCCAGGACAGTGGACAGGTACCAGCTAACCCCCTGGCTCCCAAGCTCCCTGTGAGCTAGTTCAGGCTTCTGCTGTGACTACATCACAGTTAAACCTCTCCCTCCCCTTCCTCCTTCTCTTCTTTTCCCAAAACAGGTGTTGCTTCTGAGAACATGTTCTGATCAGCTTCCCACATGAGGGTCTCAAAGTCTTTTTCCCAGGGATTCTACCTGTGACAAGAGAAATGGAAAATTAGGCTCATTATTGTTGAGAGTAGGGAATGAAAACCCTCTGTTCTTTCTTTTAAATTCATTAACAAAGTACATCAACTATCACCTCTTCTTGGTTTCCTCATGAATCACAGAATATGTTTTGATAAGCTAATAAATGGGCAGCTCGGTGGTGCTTTCTTTTGCTCTGTGGGTCTTTTTTCAAGTCCTTTATTGCAGACAGACCACACACAAACCTGGATCAAATTGTGATCAGATGCTGGCATTAGAAATTCACACTGTAAATTACTTTGTTGCCATAAAGAGGACTGTAGCAAAACTGAAGGAACTAAATCTCATGTCCAAATATTTTATTATCTTATTTGTACTATTCTGTCACTAAAATACTTCATAGCTAACTTTGATGTGGAAACAAAACAAAATGAGTGGACTCTTTGGAATAAATGGCATTGGCAAAATTCCTTTTTGCCATATGAATATAAAAAGAAGAAAAGATATTAATGAGGTGTAATAGAATAATGTACTAGAGCAACTATAATTTTTAGGCCTGGTAAAATTATAACTTAGATTAAAATGTGGGTGACAAATTTTGAGTCTAGGCTATTTTCCCAGAAAACCAAAACAATTTATATAGTAATTTTCAATTATCTACCCAAGGAGAAATAGTAATAATGGCAGTTATCCAAAAAAGTAGATAATGAACAAATTCATTTCTATCAAACTTTGAAATATTGTTTTGTATTCTAAAAACAACATGAATGTGGATGCATTTTATATTCTGGAAAGTTGTGATGACTCTAACTTATATACTGAAATTGTGCTTTAGAAATTAGACTAAAGAAAGTAGCTTATATTTTTCATCTGACTTTGTGTAATGCAGTCCTGTTTTCTATATTATTGCTAAGAATAGATATCAACTCTTAGAATAATGTTAACTTCTTCTGAAAGCAGAGAAAATTTGTGTCTATGTGTTTTCTAGCTTTTATTTTCCCAGAACTGATTTTAATTTAAAAGATACCCTCCTTTCCTGCCCTTGTTTGGCTAAAATTATTTTAAAAATACTTTATGTTAAAAAAAAATTAGAAGGAGTTATATCTAAGTAAGACTTAAGGTTTAAATTGAAATATCTGCCCCTGAAAAGTTGAATTGGTTGTATATAACTTTTTCACATGTATTTTGGCCCTACCTTTATTAATTTTTGTTCATTAAATGCTAATATATAAATAACAGTATATATAAATAACTTGGTATGGAATCTGGCACATGTTAGCAGTCGGTAGCTACTCATTCCCTGTATTTCTTGCTTCCTTCCTTTTCTTCACTCAATATTTTATATAAGATGCTTCATATTAATGCTTCATATACTTTAATAAATGTTTATATCTTATTGTACTCTGTATAAAAAAATCTGTAAAAGCGAGGATTTTTTTTTTTAATGGGCTAGAATGAAATCTTCCAGGTCTTATTTTCCCTATGTTAAAATTCAATATGTGTTTCCTAAAAGCTACCTCCATGGAACTAGATTTATCAATAATAAAAAATATAATCTATTAAGAGCTTTAACATTTTAAAGGATAAAAAAGAGGGCTGATGCAGACTGAAAATGGACCACATGGTGCATAGTCATGTGGAACCCTTCTAATCTAGAAATATACATTTTCACATAAGGCAGACAGTTACCATGCACTGCAGTGTTTTGATTGTTTGCTTTGGTATCTGACTTGATAAGTATTTGATGTTTGAGCAGAGTTAGTTATCTCTTCCTTTAAAGAGCTGAATAGCATCTTCAGTGGGATGCTGAGGAGGCACTAGAGTAGTGCATTAAGAAAGTATCCAGGCTCAGTAGACCCAAGTTCAAGCACTTGGCTCCATCCTACCCGGGTGTCATTACACAAGAAGCTGACTCTCCCAAAGTCCTGATCTTCTTTTTTGAAAAGGTGTTAACATGAAACAAAGAAAGTTGGGGTGATGATTACAGATAATAAATGGAAGTAAATTACCATACAGTAGGCATTCAGTAAATACTGACATTTGTTACAAATCGTAGCAAACATTTGCTGAGTATGTACCTTATCTCAGTACCATTCTAAGCACTTTCTATGCACTGATTCATTTAAACCTGAGTACAATTCTGTGATTCAGGTACTGTTGTTATCACTGTTTTTACACATGGAACTTTGAGAGCTTATATCACAATAAGCAGCTAAGTCAATATTTAAACCCATCTCTTGCTCTTAAGCATCACACAATACCACGTGTCATGCACAGTGGCTTTGAGCAGAAACTGGAACCAGTAGATGGACCCAGTGGGACCCAGCAGCACTAGTTCCCGTACCTCTCTCTCACTCTTCACGTCTGGCTACACTGAGGGACCACTGTATTGTAGTCACTTGACTTTACCCAGAAATCCTTCCATAATGTGAATGGTGAGAAGAGAAAATTATACCTCTCATTATGAAGGTTTACAGACATACAGATTGAGACCCAAGGATCAGATTAACGAAAGGCAACTTCTGATTGGCTCCTAGTCACTAGTTATGTAAAAAAGTCTGATCATCAGCCAATGTTGGAGTGGTCATGAGTCATAAATAAAAGGGAGAATACGCATACCTAGAAAGCCCAGCTCTGCCACTAATTAGCCGAGTGTCATTGCACCGTGGCTTCAACCCTCTGGATCCGTCTTCATCATTGGAAATTAAAGATGTTGCCCTAGATCTTAGATCTCATGGCTACTCAGGAGCTAATCCTAAGCTCCCTGTGGACTTTGGCTTTAGCCTTCTTTGACCTGCATAAAGTTTTGTTTTGTTTAATTGACTTTTAAAATATAGATTCCAAAGGTTTCACATAAAACTCTGTGTTTCTGTCTCCCCTTGAGAACCTGAAGTCGTGGCATTATTGAACCTGGTTTTCGTTATGGCATCAGTGGGAGATAGCAGGCAGACCTGAGCCATACTGCCTCCTCAGATGGGATGTGCGTTCACCAGCTGAGCAAGGCTTTGCCTCTCTCTGCTGTCTCAAACCCAGTCTACTCCCTCACTGACCCTACCTGCCTGGTCTTGTAGGCATATAGGTTTGCAGTCTGAGGACCAGCTCTGATGTTTATGTGATCGTTTGTTTATTATTATTTTTTATTTGGTCAACATCTGTTCAGAGCTTACTTGCCATTCTATGTACTATATTCATAGCCTAAATACAAAGTTTTCTTTTTATATGATAGCATTCTGCCTTCATCTCTGTGAGCCTGATTAATTTCCAGTGTTTCTAAAGTGTTCTTTCTTCTTCTTATCCACTTAGGTGACTTCAGTTTGCTAAGCAGCAGCTTCTCCTGGCATGGGCCACTGCAGATCCCCTCATCAGACGGGCTGAGACCGTGCTGTGTGACCTGTATCTGGAGTAAGAACACAACAAGGTTGGTCCAACAGGTGGGAGAAGGATGCACTGCTCAGTTAGGTAGCCCATCACTGTGGAAAAATAATAGCAATTCTGCACAATCAGAAATCAGCATCTAAGAACTAATGAGTACAGAAAAAAATTCATTTTTTTCTTTTATTAATGTTTACCTATTATGGTTTGTGAAATAACCTTGCCATAAATATCTGTACAGGAGGGAAAAATTGATAGCTCTTTTTTAAAAGTTCATATTCACAAGTGTCTGTGAAATCTTTGGCTGATTTTAGTGATGGCCTCTTTTAAGATGAAATTGTAGGGAACTAAAGATATGCCTTAGGTGACCTGAGACAATGCCTATTTAAAAATCCATTTCTCCAAGGTCATAGCTAATTGATTCTTAAATTTTCTTTGCTGAGGTAACCTTGTCCCACAGGCAATTGTACTTCAATTATTTCTCATTTCGCTTGAAAATAACAGTATTTCATATAGAAAATGATGGTATAGTTATAAGAAGTGTCTAAAATAACAGGTAATCATAACAATGTTTTCATTTAAAATGATAAAAAGCAAAGATAAATGCTCAGACTACTTCTTTGTACACTAACTTTTTGTGGTAGATAACATGCTAAGTTTATAAAAATGATTGCAGCCTTCCTGGAGTATGACTCAGAAAAAGAAGGACCACAGCTCCACACTAGCAAGAGGTAACTTGAACCATAATTTTACCTTTCCCACCATCACCTCTGTAATGTGGGCCAGTAACTTAATCTCTCTAAACAAACTGTTTCCTGGCACCTGAAGTGAAGAGTTATCTCAAAGTGCCTTTTAAATACTGATTCAGTTTGACATTGAAGCACAGCTGTGAGTGGAGGGCAAGGTGACAGCTCTGAACTAATTCTCTACGAGATAATTTGCCAAAAGTGAATTCAACACCATGCACATTCACCGCATTCCTTTCTTCTTTTCAGTATTTACAAAGTTTACAGCAGTGTGTACTGAATGTGTTGATTTTTGCCACTTTTGAAGATTCCTGAAAGGATTTAGTTGAGAGTTTTCCGATTGCTAACAGCATTTAAAAGAACACCCAGGTTGTCTTTGTCTTGCCCCCCACCATTGTACGGAGGGAGTATCCCCTGATAAGGGGCAGTGGAGAGGTGATAGTTCATAGCCACAAAGAATGTCAACAGAGACGTGGTATTATCACAAGGATTCTCCTAATTGAAGACAAATGTTAGATTCAGTATTTAAATATATTAGGTTGATTAACCATTTTTGAGAACTGTTCCATGGAATTAGCCTGTTGACATGGTCCTTCCTCAGGGATGCAGGAACGTGTGATGTATTTATTCGTTCATTCACTCAGCTGTGCCGGTCTTAGTGACACCTTTAGTTGTGACACACATTGTGTCACATGTGTGTTGTGTCACACATTGTGACACCTTTAGTTGCGGCATTCAAACTCTTCATTTGTGGCATGTGGAATCTAGTTTCCTAACCAGGGATCAAACTCAGGCCTCCTGCATTGGGAGCGCAGAGTCCACCATTGGACCACCAGGGAAGTCCCCCCTTAGAGATCTTATCGTTCAATGGAGGTAAAACATCTAAAACTAAAACAGAAAGTAAATAAATCATACAATTACAAATTGGGGTAGCATTATGGAAAACAAAAGGGATGCTAAGGCAGTGGAGAGTGAGAAACTGCTTCATGAAGTGGTCACAGAAGGTGTGAGAGTCAAGAGAGCTGTCCCCTTCCCTCTCCAGGCACATGCTAGGACTGCATCACCTTAGTCCACCCACGGTTCCGTGGACCATGGGCTCTGGTCTGGCTCATCAGTTGTGCACAGAAATATGTGTCACTTCCACATTGGAGCATCTAAGTGTTGCTTCTGTAGATCCCTTTCCCTGAGGCAGTCTAACAAGTGTTGTGTTCCAAGATGTGGTTGCTCCCTCAGCCTGGAACTTGTGTGACTTCAAGGAACAGAGTTCCTTCAACCAACTCACACTGGAAGTGTAGCATGTAGTGTGAGGAAACAACAGACTGTATTGTCTTAAGCCACTGAGATGTGGAAGCCGTTTGTTAACACAGCTTAAGGAAAACAATCCTGCCTATTACAAATGGCATCTCTGAAGAGGCAGAAGGGTGATTTACAGAGGCTTTAAGACAGAAGGCCTTGAACTTGGCTGGTTCACAGAATTGAATGAAAGCCAGTGTGACTGGATTAGAGTAAATCAGGAAAAAATAGCAAATAATCTTTAGTTTCTACTCTCTCAACTCTTGCCTGTTCTGGTTCTGAGGCTGTTCTTATATTTATATTCCTGGCAGAGCTTTAAGATAGATCAAGTAGCTTGACTCTAAATGCTTTTGATTTGCTTACACAAATCAAACTCTCATACTTTAACCCTCGCTCTGGATTATGATCATTTTTATCAAGAACTTGGCATGTGGGCGATTGATATGATAATGCAGTCCTAACGCAGCCCCTGAAGCTGAGGGCCTGTACCCTCTCAGTCAATGCTGAGGTGTGCTTGGGTGTGTAGGTCATTCATAGCTGAGACTTGGGATGACAGCCCACAGCACTTTGCATTTGAATAATGTGTAATATCGTACAGTTTTTAAGGTCTCAGTTTTCACATCCATTTCTAATATTCCAGCAACAGAATCTAGGGAAAAGCCCACACTTTTGGGTGCCCCGTCATAGCCCATTTAATGTATATGTAGGAGAGATTGTCTTTTGCACTGAAGAGCTTGTTTGAAACCAAAACGAGAACCCCTTAGCAAAAAGCAGATTGCATGAGATGCAGTTTATCTTCTTTGGAAGAAAAGACGAGCTGAGTCAACCCCCCTGGGGTTTGACAACTAAGGTATTTCTTTATCCTTGACACTGCTCAGATAGAGCCACTGATATTATAACTGCCTTTATTGAAGTTTGGTCAATTTAGAGGAAGTACATCCATCTTATATTACAGTCATTCTTGTACAGTCCCTAAAGTCTTAAGGATTTTTTATCGAGGTGACTGAAATCCTGCTTAAGAAAAAATCAGAGGAAGGAAGGGAAATGGATCTAGAATAAAAACGGGATCCTTAATATAGTCCAGTCTCAGTGCCAAATGCTTTCATATGTAGTATTACTATCCCCATACCGTGGAAGAAGTAACCTAGAAAGGTTGTGATCACCCAACCAATGACTGGCAGACCAAAGAAGGGACAGTCTTCTCCTTCCCAAGACCCTTCTATTTATCTCTGCCACTAGAGAGGAAAAGTCTAGAATGCAGAAGTCTCCCTATACCATCACCATGGTTAAATATAAATTGGCCATGTCCTGCTTTTCTGTAATCTCCAGAGTTATTCTCTAAAAGATAAATACTAGATCACTGTCAACTTATTACATATCTAGAAGAGCCTCTAAACAGAACTGGTTGTAATAAGCTGTGCTCTGCTAATTGTACATCTTCCCTTTGTTTCGCCTCATCCTGTATAATTAGTGCTGTCTTGAAAATAGAAGTTTTCCATGACATTAAAATTCTTACACAGCACACCCTCTAATTATTTCATATCTTCACATTAGGGACTAAGATACCCATGGTGGAAGGGGTAATTCTGTTCATTACTTAATTAGTTATAGAGGAATTCAGGAAAAAGAGATTATTAAAATAATTTCTACTTGACTCTGAGATTTTTTTCTCATTGCCTACTCCCTCCTAACTTCAAACCTCATCATTTTTGGTACCAGAGTCAGGTATGCCTGTTAGGGTCTCCTTCTATTAAAAAGTTACCTATTCTTCAAGATCTACCCAAAATCCCCTTCTTCACAGGTCTTTCCAGATATCCATCATTAAAATTAAGCTTAGTCTTCCATACTCTAGGGTACTAATCCTATAGAATCTCTCTATTTTGTATTATAGGGCTAGAAATAGGGCAGAGATGGTTGGAACTTACTCAAATATGTTTCCTCTCTTTTTCTTGGGCATATAACTCAGCAGCATGTCCTTGCCTGCCTTAGAGTTGGGTGTGATCAGATGATGAATTTCTCACAGTGGGACACAAATGAAGTGGCGTGTTTCCTTTTGGGGCCAGAATTTTTAGGAGGTAGGTTGCTCCATTCTTGCCCTCCCCTGTTGAGAGCTGCATGAGAAAAGTCTGATGCCCTCATGGATGGAGAGAGCCAGGCTCCTAGATCACTAGGTAGAAAGCTGTCTGGCCAAACAGGAACAGCCTCACTAGATTGAACAAGAAATAACCATCTATTGTGTTAAGGTTGGGCATTTAGAGTTTATATGTGATAGCAGCTAGTGTGGACATACCTAATATAGTGTGTGCACATTTGTGCTTATCTTTGTGACTCCCTCTATTTCAGAAGCCCCAAAATGACAGGAACAACACTAACAACAACAAAAAATCACCCTTCACTGGGAGTCTTATTTGGAAATGGAGCAGATAGTCATCAAAATGAAGAATGGAGGGTCTCTAAATCATTTCTAGTATTGGGAATGCCATTTTCTCATTGTCAAGCAACCGACTAGAATTTTGAAAATAATCTCATAGGCAACTAACTTAGGGTAGAGAATGAAAGGGATACCCAGTTAGTTTCCATATTAAAATATGTCCTAGTTCATTACTCATTCAAGTATTCGTCATTCTTTCAATCAGCAAGTAGGTATTCTACATATTCTACATGACAGGCAGTCGGATAACAGTACTGATCAATCACAGATCTAGTCCCAGCTCACTCTTAAGTATATACTCCACCTATCCAGCAAGTCATCAGACTACCAAAGGTGCATTCAGCTTCTCACCCAGGTTTTCAGGTTCTTTATCTATAAAAGTAAACAATAATATTATCTACTTCTCCAATTATGTTGTATTTTTAATTAGATAATGATTTAAATATGATTATTAAATTTTTAGCACTGTGTTTCACACTTGAACTTAATAAGCACTCAATAAATCCTAGCTATTATTATTCTTATTAATTTAGATTAATTTCATAAGATTGTACAACAACAGCAAAAAAATCTGCC